TTATGCATGAATGCAATACATTGTTTTTTTTTAATTTTCCAGTACGAGTTGAAATTTGAAATTTCAATATGAAAAATGTATAGTTAAACTTGATTTTTGTAGGGCCCCTCGTCGAGAGATGTACTGCATTGCATCGTTGGCATATTTTACGGCACTGTTTGTGAGATATCTTGTTGCCAATGCGGCAGCAATAACCTACTGAAACGCGATGTACTCGAAGGGTAAATTATCGCTGTCGGTAAGAGCATCAAAAGACCAATAGGTTAGAGGGAATATAGACTTCAAGAGTCTTTATCCATTATAATAATATAACCATGTCATAAACCCTCCTTTTTTCTGATTAAAATAACACTTTAAAACGAATTGTTGTCAGTCACCAATATCAAACTACTTTCCTCCGCCTGACCACTATTCATAATATAAATTTCTAAATTATAATTTATAACCTTCCTAATTACAGTAAAAAAAAAAAAAATAAGATTTAAAATCAATAAAACTCCGGAAAATTGATTTATATTTGCACTTAACATACTAACGTATAGCCAAATTCCTAAATCAGATTAACCAAGTTAATGAAATCTATTTATTTTTTTAAAGGTGTTTTTTAGTTTTTTAATCGTCACGACAGCCAAAGTATTATCAGATTGGAAACATTTGAGTGTAGAAATCGTGGTGATAGATTTCTACATCTGTTGTAATAGTAATAATTAATAGAATTCGTAAAATCGTATATCAAGCTAATTTCATTAATGTGCTCTTTGAAGTTGAGCCAAAAACCGTCACTGTATTATATAGTCTTATATTTGCGTAGACATTCGCAATGTCTTTAGAATTACATCGTGTTTTGGTTTACACAGTTGTACAGAAATCTAATAAAGAATATAAAAGAATATTCCATCTCGAAACCTGACGCACATGAACATGTGTAATTATAATGACAGTATATATTATTATATATTCGTGTTTTGTCGTTCAATAATATTATAACCATTAGATACATACTGTGGACTATTAATACTAATTAGTAATTAGTAATTACGTTATGATATTAAATAAAACATTTTAGTACTATATACTATGGGTTATAACTATGATTCGAATTTAACATATTTTTTGTTCTATTTGTCGTTATCCAACACGGGGTTTAAATATCATATTATCAATAATACCACAATATGTAATTTCAATTTAATGACGTAATTTAAAATGTTTGTTTTTATACAATTATATACTTGTAAGTTAAAACTTATAAATCTATGTAAATAAAATATATTGGGTACACATTAAAGGCGTATTACGTAACAACAAAATAACAAAAATTAAATTAAAAATAATATGCTTTATAAATGTATAACAATAATAATAATAATAAAATATTTAATTAAGTATATCTATTATAATTTACGAGTATGTGACATAAAACTATATCACTTATTAAAAAAAAAAAACCAGAATTAGAAAATTGACATGAAATTTAATAAGAAAAAGCCATGTATATTGTACTAATAAAATAGTGAGATAATAAGCTGAAAAAAGTAGAAATAAATAAAAAATTATACATAAAAAAAACCAATCATATTTTAAAGCTTAAATCACAAACTCGCGCTATGCTCGTGTTACACTAGTTTGACATCGGTCACAATTCCGATCGACAAAAAGTCGGTAAACATCAAAAGAAAGCAGGTAGGTATTTATTGATCGACGGATGACGAACAAGTCTTAAGATCTTAACCGACCAAGTTTTAAAACGTCAAAAAAGACAAAAAGTTATTTTCTTAGAATTTGAATGCAAAGAAGTAGATTTGGGTGAATTAACTATTTTTAAATAATATATTAAAAAAAAAAAAAAATTTGACTTAATATACTAATCACTCTTATGGAGATACGCGACAACAAGTGAAAGATATTATTCAATGTGATGAAATTAGTTTATTCACGCCCTACATTGAATATATTATACATGTGTTTAATGGAAAGTACAACAAAAAAATATATAAATTGGTTTAAAATAAATTGACTCTAATTACATTTATTATACTAAATACTGTAAGAATATAACTTATGTGAGTTTGTTTTTGAAAATAGTTAACTACGGAAAATTAAATACTGCCATATGTACCTATAATTAAATCTCACTGTATTATTAAAATAGTTATAGGTATACTATATTTGTTTTTTATTAATTTTACAATTTAATTCTAATATTAAATTTAGTTCTTAATATTGTTTTCTTTAAAAAAGGAATTGTTTATGGTTGATGGTGATTTGGTATTATGAGTAGATATGTAATAAAATATTTTAGCTGACTGGTTCATTATCTTTATTTAATCGATTACCTAATTATGTATCATTATGTCATTGAATTAATAATATAATATAATACTTAATTAAATCGTATCAAAAAATGTTAAATCTATTTAATTATTTACTGTAAAACAGATAACAATAATCTTAAAATATGTATACCGTTTTTAAAACTTTAAATTATTGTAGTCTTTAATTGTATTACACAATTATTTATACAATTTGATTTTAAATTTTGATTTTTTTACAAAACACGGTGGATAAAATTCCAGATTCAAATATTGATTTAGTTAGACCTAAGTGCACCGACTCTGTTTTCGCGAAAACTATATCCAATAGAATAAAAACTGCTACTATTTTAAATTGAAATATTAAAACAATTGGAAATTAAAGTTATGAGTTATTTTATGATAGTATTTTATAAATTTTATCTATAATTTGAAATAATATTGAAGTCGTGCGAATATAAAAAATATTTTAATTTAGATAAATCATTAAATTTAAGAAATATTATTTTTTCCTAATTTAACTTATATATTACTTTAAAAATGTTTAAAGACACCAAAACAGATAAAAGTAAATAAAACACTATTTTATTTTGTTAGTTTTCGTTTAAGTTACAAACTAACTAAATATTTTTAAAACTTGTTTTAAGAGAATAATCATAATATTTATTATCTCTATCTTACAATAGTGCGACATTGCATAGCAGATACTCGTATACGTTTAGAAGTTCACGTTTGGTATTGTTGATAGTAGAATGAACTTAGGGACATATTACCTTAATAAGACGTTATACCTTATAATTTAAATAATATTTACAATAGAGTTTTTACAATAAATTCTTCTGAACATTAAATTTTTCAAGTTGTAAGTTAGTAGACGGAGCTAATACATGTCTGTATAACATCCACAATGTAATATAACGTTTGTTGGGTTTTTACATTTAAATTTTTAAGAGAGTTATGGCATGACAATATAAAATATTATAATTCAAAAATACTCATTACTCATGTCTTGTTAAATAATTTAAATATCTTAAAAAAACCGACATACAAAAACAGAAAATGTTTTTACCTTTATGTTTAAAAGAAAACAAATTAAATTCACTCTTACATTAAAATTAACAAAGCTAACCGTAAATTGCTGAATATAAATTGGTGTTACGCACTTGTAAGACGGATACCACAGTACGTTTACAAAATATCGTAAGCGCATAATATTATGTCTAGATTGACCTTTGCCGTGGGAATATATCCAACACCATAGCGATAGCGTTCATGATAATATTATATCGCGGTTAATATCATGGTACGGTAATAAACGCCGAATGCGGGTAGAAGCACTTATAGATTGTCTACAAAAATCGCTCAGCAATTTACAACTATTATAGGCCACAACTTACAATGTATATTATTATATTCATTGGCAAATTTCTATTTTCACAAGCATACCAATAATATTAACATTACTAATTAATATTATTTTATAGCTAGGTTAGTAATTACACAATATACTAAATTATATAAATAAATAATAAAAAATAAGTTTTATCGAGTTTCTTCGATGGCCAAAAGTCGATTGTGTCGATTATCAACGAAAAAACATATCATTGCGATGGTTTCAACAACTTTTTGTTATTGTTACTAATTGTTACTATCATTATTCATTATTAGTCATTACTATTTAGCGTGCCCATTCATCCTCCCCACGTATAAACTTTGATGTGTCAGCACTGATTTTGCCCGATTCGGGAGGCTTTCATCCGGTAACGAAAATTTAAAAATACCTACCTATAGGCAGTATATATACGAATCAAAGGTCCAAATCGCGCACGGGAGCAAAACAAATACACGCACACAACATACCCGGCGCGAAAAAGACCGTAGCGGTCGGCATATTAGTATCACAATAAATTATTAAGGTACCTACTCACGGCGACAGCTTTGCGCGTACGATGTTCACATTATTGTCACATTGTGAAACACGTGACTAGCGCACGGCGACGGCGGCGTTTCCGATTCGACGGTTCACAGAAAAACACAACACAGCAACGTTGTAAACTTGCACATATTATTATACACAATAACATATTATACTACAGCGTGCGTATTATATATTATATTATATTATTTAAAAACAAAATTAGTACAGACGCGCTTACACGCGCATTGGCGCTAAGTCAACAGATATTACGGTTTTCGCGTTCATCGTGCGTACCGATTACAGACGACGACGGTTCGGATAAAAATTGCCAGCTGTGCGAGACGAGTAAAATTAATTGAATTGCTCGTCGTTATTTGGTTATTTTTTTTTTCTTACACAAATACGTAATATCGCCCTCCGAATAATACGTCATTATGTAATAGCTTATCGAAAAACGAATTTTACCGAAATTAAATTATTAGGTAAGAGAATTCATAATAGTAGGACGCCCGCATGCCCGATTTACGATCGACGATGGTGTTAATAATAACAATAATAACAACAACAACAACAACAACGACGACGACGACACAATAATATTAATAATCATCGCGGGACAACGGTCCCCGCTCTTCGATAACACCACAAATTATAATATAATTTTATAAAGTATTATTGACTATTTATAAAACATCGAAATACGGTAAATAGGTACTTCTATAATTGTGTAGAAAAAATAAATGTAAAATGTACACAAACGGTCTTCTTACCTGTGATGGACTTTCAGTGGCGGCTAATTTTGTGCTGCATCGGTTGAGGCACGACACGCGTACGTTCAAACACACGCGCGCGTAACGGACGAGTACGGCGAGCTAGAGTGCGGCGAGCTAGAGTGCGGCTGGAGGTCGTCGTCGTACCGTGGGCAGGCGCAGCTGTAGGGTGGCGACGACTGTACGCGAACGGTCGTCGTGGCGGAATGAGCCGCCCGACGTGCTGGTGCCTGTGCTGCCGCTGCTCCTGTTGGTGATGTCGCCGGTTGGCTATTGCCGCCGCGATGCTGCTGCCCTGCTGGTGCTGCTACGACGCACTGCTGATACGGCGGCGGCGACCGGCGAACACGTGTTGATCGCCGCCCGCCGGCTCGTCGTCGTGTCGGGAAATAATGCGGCGTTCCGCTTCTCGCGTTGCGGCCATCGATTCCGGCATAATATAATATCACGACATAACCTACGGTGTACGAACAGTTGGGTATTTACAGTGCGTATTTCATATTATATTCGATAATGATACAATATTGATAATCAGCACACAGGTACACCGGTGTATCGGTCGTAATCTCCAATTCAAAACACGATACGTATTATAATGCGTATTATCGGGGAAATGTTTTGCGCGCGGAAGCTGCGCTCCGACGGGAATAAAAAGAAAAACAGCGACTGACCGATAACTCACGGTACACTACACAACCCGTATGTATCGTCGTTATTCATTGCGAACCGAGCATTCGTTTAAAGCGTTTACTATAAAAATATGATAAACGAGCGTGGTCGTCAGAATATTACGTATAGGTGCAATGTTGTTATTATTATTATTGAGGTTGTTGGTTGTGGGATAATATTATAAAGCGTCGGCGAGCGGACGGTAACGCTACTGCTGACGGCGGATGTGGATGGCCCTCGGCGCGTACAGAAAAATATAACCAACGATAAGCCACACACGCACACACATATTATTATACACACACGTTCGGCGGCAGCGCAATGTTGCCAACGTGTGCAAAAGTTCAACCGGCCGTGTTCGTAATATCCACTACACGCATAACATGACAGCCGCGCAGCAGAGTGTCACGGACGTAGTCGGTGCGCGCGCGAGGAACAACTACCTAATACCTATATTATATCGTGCGGCGTGGCTATGCCCGCCGACGTAGTCGCTGCTGCGTCTGCTTGTGGCCCCTATGCGTCTGCCCCACCGCCGACGACTATGACATTGACGTCGACGCACCGTAGGTGTAGTTATCGCGTGTTCGCGTCCCTTCCGGGCCGGTCGCCCGGTCACCCGTCACCGGATGAACACGCACGAGAGGCATGGAACGTCCGAGCCGACGACCATCGGGGGATCCTGTTGGTGGTCACGACGCGTGCGTGTGTATCGGTTGTATAAATTCGTCGTCATCAGTCATCCGCCGGGCCGCGACGGTCTCCCCAATTTAAACGGGCCCATATATAGCCGCCGTGCACTTAACGCGCTGCGACCCGGACATACCCACCACCCCACACCCACGACCCGTTCCGATGCGGGCGCACTCCGTCACGATGTAGTCGGCGGCAGCTTGTGCACCACAGTCGGTCGTAAGATTTTTATGATGTGACGTAGCTATATTATATATGTACACTGTTCCGGCAGCGAGTACGCGCACGATGGTTTTCCAATAACGTAATTATTTTTCCAATCCCGAAAGAAAAACTTCGCCGATTACATCGCACCGGAAATACGCCTTTCCTGCGGTAGTTGTTAAACGACGAGACACGACCGCAATCGCTTTGCTTACGAATTCCTCAGAGACGTCACCCTGCCTCCTCATCCCCTCTTATAAACTAACAAGTTATACAGACGTTGACGCACGTCCGCCACCATCTGCTGTCTCTTGTCCCCTGCGTTCTTGACGTTTACCCCGACCACTTAATAACAATGAGAGTATGGTATTTACCATACGAATTTGGATAACCAAAAACAGTTCAAGACATTCTCAGTTAATGATTTTTTATTACATTTCAAGAGCTATTGACCTTTTTCGTCTGTATATATTGATGTTCATGATGATTTAACGTTTGTATTTTTGTTTTTAACATATCCATCATTTGATTGGCAGTGGCTGTGTAGTGAAATCTCAAAACGAATCACGTCACATTATAACCAATCACCAGTTGGTGACTACAGATGATGCATCCTCGTGTACATAATTACATTTTGTAGAGCAGGGGTGTCCAACCTTTTGTAAAGTCTGGGCCATATCATATGGGTAGACGTTGTTGTGGGCTGCATAGTTTTTAATAATAATAGTTTATACATACAGTATTTTATTTTTATTTGTTGATAAATGACACGAGATCTATGCCGTAGACATATCTCCGATAATAAAATATTTTATCAAAATCGGCTCGAGTTAATCCATTAATTACTCGTATAATTAATGTGTGCCCGTGCTATTATGTTAAGATAAAAGTATTAAACATTATTAAAGTTTATTTGATGTTTAATATTATGTATTTTTATATTCTTGTGATAAATTTATTCTCAAAATATTAATATATTATAAACAATTAATTAATAGTTTTTAAATTAAAGTGAGGGCCGCATCAATATCTACCATGGGCCGCATGCATACCGCAGGCGGCTGGTTAAACACCCCTTTTGTAGAGTTAAAAAGTAGTGTAACGCAAAAATTTGCCACCTTCCGCCTTTTCACACAAAAATAAAAAAAAAAACTAAAATTGATCTAATAGGTACAATTGTATAGTTCCACAGTGCTATAGAAAAATATGCTTTATCAATAATGCAACCATGAATTATTAAAATACGCTATAGAGCAGTTATATACGATATACTCATTATAGGACTTGGAAAAAGTGTTATACTTTTAATTTTATTGGTATCCAAAAAGTAAATATTATTATTATTGTTATTTAATTACGATAAGATGAACCTCTAATGTACGTCAAATTAAACTTCAAATGTAAACTGTAATCCTATAGAATATTTTTATTTTCTTGAGATTCTATTAAATTTAAGGGTATTGTAAAATGTCCTTAGATGTACGTGTTCTCTTAGCAACGAAGAGCCACAGATCTTGAGTTACACCATTTGAGCATTATGCCAATAAATTCCTGCGAGTAATAAATTTTTCCGTTTATTCTGCACTGTGAGACGGTAGGTAAACGGACGCGTAACACGATGTATGCCAAGCGCCAAATATCACGTATAATGTGCAGATGTCGACACGCCTACGCATCATGATTGTACGTATGATATCTCACGATCTATGAATACACATGGTTATATAATTTTAATAAATATATTATCTTAAGTGGGTTCGTCAAAGAACGTTATTGCAATGTGAAAGCTCATTGAATCTTTTTTTTAACATCGTAATCATAATATTATTATTATAGCCATTTATGTGTTTTTTTTTACAATTTAGTGACCAACATCCACCGTTGACTATTAAAACCGGAACGACAAGGTGAATAAGTGTGGTAAGCCCGAGGCTTCTATATTTATGCATTCTCCAATTATTATTTAATTTCAAAACAGTCAATTGACAGTGTAGTTACATAAATGTAATAATAATTTATACAAATGTTTACAAATAGTAACTGTTTTTTTTTTTTAATATGTAATCATTTAAGTTAAAGCTATACCTCTAACTTATAAACTTTGTTATTTTATCGAATATATATCATTTTATACTGACTTTATATTTGTCTTGAGCAACCTTAAGAAATAAAAATGTAGGGTATGTATATACAATCAATAGCTTTGTCGGTATAATGGTATCAACAATTTAATTCGTTTCACTCTTTAATTGTAGTTCTATTATAATTAAACATATTTGAGTAGAACTAGAGAACTAGTAGAAGGTACCTACTTATTATATCAATTTTAAACATTGTGTCTTTTATAATAATTATTTATTAATGAAAACATTCTAAATACTGATACATTCAAATCCGGTCTTTATTTACAATATTTATAATTATGGCACAAGTTCACATAAGTTGCAACACGTTTTCTTTTACTTATACATGTTAACAAGTTAAGAACTAAATACAATTTATGGAAATCATTTGAATTAGTTAGATTAAGTTAAGTTATAGCCATCCTAAATTCCCCGTATTTTATGCATACGTTGCACTCTCTAGTTTACCAAGTCTTAAACAAATTTCTATTTTTATTATGTATATATTAAATTATCTTAATGCTATGATAACCATTTTTGCAATTATATTTGGGTAAACGAAACAGGTATCTTAATGAGTGTTTTGTAACCTTGTCAGTTAAAGTATGACAAGTAGTTGCTCTCTACTCATACCAGTTCTGGTTGGCGGTCAAAAAACTCGAGGTCCTAGGGACCACTAATAATATTGCTAATTAAACTGTTTAAGTTACACGAATAATCGTTCCCTACGCCTACTGGTTCTGGTCGCAGCTGTGAACTTAGACCAGCGACCATATTATAAATTATCTGCACCGAATAGACGTAATTACTATGACAAATGATAAATACTTATAGTAGTTATAATTTCGAAACGATGTTCCAGCACAATTTCTGATTACACAATAATTTTTAACTCGTTAAAATGAGAAAGTTCCAAAAAAAAAAATTAATAAATAAAAATAAAAATTTGATGAAAATTTCAAAATATGGTAAACTAGAGCGCTTACGTACATACGTTAAGAACGGAAAATCGCGAATTTCGGAAGGTTTTATGATATAAACTTAATAAACTTATAATTTCTGCAAATCTTTTTCCATCGTTGTTTTAAAGTCTTAAATCATTAAAATACATAAATTTCAAAAAAAAAAAAAAAAAAAAAATGTTAAAAAACGAATGATAAATTAAATTAATTTATCCCATAATTAATTATAAACAAGAAAAATGCACTAATATTTGCTAAAGAATTATTATTTTAAAAATGAACATATTATACACAAATAAATAATAATTCGAACATCTTACTTGTTAAATAAATAGTTATACCTATCAGCAATATCAGTATATTTTAAATTTTATATGTTAATATTTACGAATACAAGAACTTACCACAAAATTTGTTCACCCGGAAAATAGATGCATATTCACACAAAAACAATAACAGAGTGCACTCGCGTACATCTTATTAAAAAAATAAAAATATATTTGAAACAAAACGCTCATTTGTGAGATTTTAGACAGATGTCGGAAATCAACTCATCACGGTGAAAATAAAAACGCAATTGAAATAAAATGGAGTTTTTCTATTGTTTATTATGTTTACATTTCTTATTCGACCTGATATATACCTAAGTATAAAATAATATAAAATCCTAGAGACCATGGTACAAGAAGCTTACCTATTCATCAATAACCATTAACCGCAATACCGCGAGCGGTAGTCCTAAGTTATATTACGCAGTTTCGCGCCCAAATAATTCCTATGTCTTATCAGTTAGCAAATGAGCAATAACAATTATTGCCTCATAGATCTACTATCTACATTCTACAATCATTTATTTACTTTATTTTCACCTTGAAATGTATGCATTTTTCATTTATGGATGGTTATAAATTAAAATATACCGTATATGTATAGTAATAATGTTAGAAAGAAACTACAAACTATGTTGCCATCTTCTGTTAACTATATACCATAGCACCAAGTAAGAAAAGAATTAATAATACAGTAAATTTAAAACTAGAAATATTAAAAAGTGTACCTGGTTGGTCCTTATTTATTGAGTTTATTTTTGTTTGAAATTTACAATGTCCTAATTTTTGAACTACTTAATACTGATCTTTCGACATTCCCACATAATAAATGAAATGTATTCTTTTGTGATTTTTTTTCCTTTTTCTTCAATAGAAAAATAATTCTATTTTTTATTTATTTATTTTCAGAAAAAAAAATTTTAATTATCCTACTGTTATTAAAGTAAATTTAAAAAATGTGATTCAATAATATCAAGGTTTCCAAAAATAATAATCGTATGTCTCTTATCATAAGCTCCCAGTGTTTTTTTCACGCTTTTCAAAATATCATGTATAAAATCCCCATTTAAATGAACCAATAT